CACGAGCTGCTTCACCTCCCGCTCCAGCTGAATCCTCTCCTGTTCCTGGAACTTCGCCTGCAGCTCCATTCGCAGACGCATCACCTCATCCAAAACATCATCTATGGGCTGCGGGTACTGGACTACACTTAGCAAGAACAAGAGCCACAACACCCACGCCGCCATGGTCTGCAGGAGGATGGAGAGAAGGCCTTGAGGGGAGTGGGGAGGGAGGCAGCTGGCAGGGGGGGCAGCAGGGACAGGAATCCCAGTGATCTGAGGGCAGGAAAGACAGGGCCCCAGACAGCTGGGGGCAGGAAGGCCTGTTCCACTGCCCCAGCAGCAACAGCAGCACTGTACCATGGCCAAGGCTCTGCCCATGAGGGGCTGTCCCTGCATGCAGAGGGAGAACCCAGCTTTGGGTACAGCATTTCTGCCCTGGCCCTTGTCCCCAGCATGGCCTCCCTCCCACATGTGCACTCACCGCTTGCCCAAGCAATAGAGGGCCAGTGTTACCTGCTTCTAGGTAACCTGCTTCTAGGACCTGTTCTAGCTGCCCCCATTGTGACACGTCCCCATGATGTCACAGGTGCCACAGCACATCACAACCCAGCCAACTCCACTCTTTGTCCCCACCCCAGGTCAGCCACTCAGAATGGCCCTGGTGTACTGGTTAAGGCTGCTTTTGAGTGAACCTTCTTCAAAGAACTTCCTTTGGTCTTTCTTTTGTCTTTCTCACCAGCTGCCTCCATTGGAGGTCTCCTAGATATCCATGTTGGAAGGCACCCTTGGGGATCATTGAGTCTAAGTCTTGACTCCATACTGGTTGAGCTACCCTTAAATTTCTGCATCATCGAAGTTGAAAAAGTCCCTGAAGATCACACAGTTCAACTGCAAACTTAACACTGTCTACTCCACCAAACAGTCAGATTGCCATATGTGCATGACTTCTAAACCTTTCTGAGGGTGGTGACTCAGCCATTGCCCTAGGCAGCCTGTTCCCAAGCTTGACATACTTTTTGTTGAAGGAATATTTCCTAGAGATCCAATATAAATCTCCTGTGGCACAGCTTGAGATAATTTCCTCTGGTCATATCGTTTGTTCCCTGGGCTAATATGATAAACCCCACTTAGCTACAACCTCCCTTCAGGGACCATCTGCATCTGTCAGGTGCAGATGCCTGAGCTGTGAAACCAGCACCTCCCAGAGGAGAGAAAGGTGCTGCTTTTATGCTGTGGTTGCCATGATCAAATGCCAGTAGGAAAAAAAAGGTTCTTGGTGGTCAGAAGTTTCAGGCTGCCAGGAAATATTTCCATGCAAGGAGAACCTTTCTGCCAAGTACATCAACTGAGGGAATCCATACCCTTCCAAGCAGAAGGAAAAATCATCACTCTCCTTGTAGCAAATGTGAAGGTTTGGAGGGAAAGTCAGTGCTGGAATGTGCCAGGATATCCATGTGGATTTCACTAACCTGCAAGGCCAGACTGTGAAGATGGGATCCCGGAAGCCAAGAAATGCTTTCTTGCTCTGGGGCCTTCCATGGCACTGGCAGCATATGTGAGAGCCCTTCTTCATCCTTTGCCTTCAGGAAGGCCCCAGTTTTGGCAAAGCCTGAATTCCCCAGCTCTCTTGCTCATGACCTCAGGCTCACCAAGACTGTTTGGTCTCAGCCCAGGCAAGAGCAGAAAGAAGCCCTCTCCTGGCTTCATAGGCCCCAGAGACGAGCAAAGATGAGGAGTGTGCCAGAACAGGCCATCAGCACTGCACAACAGCCTCTCTCAGCTGTAATTCACAGAAAATTTAAACACTAAAGTTATGGTTTGGGGTTTGTGTTGTGTTTTCTTTGGAGCCTTTTCCGCCACAGGAAAACCTGTGGCATTTTCCATGTTGCATACCTGGATTTGAATGGTCCACTCTCGGTGCTGCCTAGATCGAACTCAAAATTGTTCCTTTGCCCCTGTCTCTTCTCTGTTATGCAATGCCATTTCAAGGGGTTGATGGGTAACACCATTTCTCTTTTCTCATCTTGTGCTGGGGAACTGGGAACTTGGGAGAGCCGCCAATCCCCCTCCCCTGCCCCAGCTTGACCCTAAAAGGTTTCTGCAGTAGGGTAACATGGTCATGTTGCCAGTGGCTCCAGCTGCCAGCACCAGTGGCAGAGCCCAAATTCCACCACCAGGAGCTCTCTGTCCCTCATCTTGTCCAGATCTGGAGCTCATTTAAATGTTGGGGTTTTTATCTAGCTGCCTGAATAAATAAACAATCCTATGGCAAAGGGAGCTTAAGGCTGTAATTTAGGGATCAAACAGCAGGTAGGGACAGGACTGGTTTAAGGTAACTACAGGTGTCATAGAAAGAGGCGGTTGTGCCATCCTGTTTGGCTGTGTGCTGTGCCACTTCCATTAGTTTTGGGATCTGATTCATTTGGAAAGAAGGTGGGGTTTTATTTTTTCTCTTTATTTTTTTTTAATTGACAAGATTAATTATGAGAGTGAACAGGTCCCACATCCTGTAGATCGCATGGCTGTACAAACAGGAGCATGATTCCTGAATCCAAGGGCTCTGAGTTACATCTGCCTCTAATCACTCCCATATGCATTCTTTTGCATGTTCTGCTATGTGTTAAGGTTTCCTATCACGTGCTAATTGATTCATTACTTTGTGCTAAGCATGCAGTCACGTGCTAGTCATTAACTGTCCCATATGTTAAACTCATTATGTATATGCTTAAATATTGTCTCCTGGGCTGACAATCCTCTTTTATGTAATACCACATGTATGTTGAAGACCTTCAGACTTTAAACTTCCTGCTCATTAGTTTTGTGTATGATTTGTCAGTTACATTTTGGAGCTCTTCCTTATTTCAGTTGTGCAACAACTGTAATTAAAGCTGCTGAGGCATAATATGTGTTTTAGCACTTACTAGAGGGGATGGGAAAGAGTTATTCGAAACAACCAGCACAGTAATGGCATCACAAACCCTCTGTGGATTTGAAGTTATGTTAGACCACATAAGTTTTGCAATAGGTAAAACTTCATAACTGGCTCAGAAAATGTCACTCTGGCAAAAAAAATGTAGCTGGAAGGAGGATGTAATGTTTCTGATGAGGAAGTTCACAGGTCAGAAATGAGAAAATATGGAAAGAAGGGTGTGTCACTCAACATCCCAACTTGCAGAATTTTAGAATAATGATTTTAAAGAATCCAGGGATGCACTGGATTTTTAATTTCTATAGGAAGAAGATGGGCTTCTTTTGGTATTACTACCTTACACAGCACACAACCTGTTTCTCGTAAGATTTACCAGAAACAATACACAGCACACAACCTGTTTCTGGTAAGATTTACCAGAAACAAGTTGACTTGAGCACACTTGTGAGCAAAAAAAAAAAAAAAAAAAAAGAAAAAAAAGGTTCTCCAGAGGTATTTCTACTGTATGTTTGAGATGAGAGGGTACAGAATTTTATCCTTTGTACCTGTAGTCCCAATGTAACACAGTTTTAGGTTCTACCATATGAATGCCGACCATCATCTTGGTGTAGAAAGATATGTGGAATTCAGACCAGCCTCATTTCATATATTGTTCATTGCAGGAACTACTGGCTTGGGGGGAAATATCTGTACCCTCACTGGCTTTTATCTTCCAAGCCCCAAAAGGAGCAGCTGAAAGTCCTGTTGCATGTAGATAAGAAATGGCAAGTAAAGAGGCTGGGAGTAAGATCTTGGTAAAAGGTGTCTTTCCTAGGAAAAGCTAGTGCTTATGCATAGTATGTTGTCTGCCAGGAAGCAATCCCAGTGGAAAAGGAGGCAAATAGTCTTGAGTAAGAACTTGTTGAACACCTGGCCTGGGCTGTCCTAGCAGCTGCTCTCTGCATGCCTCCTGCTTGGGCAATGACAGCACAGAGTGATTTCTTTCCCACTTGACACTCTTGAAATTCCCAATTTCCTGAGCACAGATTTGTCCTGCAACATAAACCCTATGGCTGCAGCTGGGCAGACACCAGCACTGCTGATGTACCAGTGTCTGCAAACCACCGCAGGAGTGGGCTCTGGGAGTGTCTGGCTGGGGTTGTTGCCCCTAACATGGGCTCCTTACCTGGTGTGCAATGCCAATTCACACACAGAGGAGAGGAATCTCTATTTCTTTATTCTAGTTTGTGCCAAGTAGGGAGCCAGGTGGTAACCCACAAAACACTAGCTCCCTCATCACCAAAACTTTGCATTATTTATATGTTTTAGCAAACAAAAGTATCAGTATTCATTGGCTAGAAGTTGCATAGTTCTCTCATTAATTAGTATTATATCTTAGCTCAGTTTGGTCAGAGCATGGTGCTGATAACTCCAAGGTTGTAGGCTCAATCCCCATATGGGTCATTCACTTCAGAACTGGACCTCTTGATCCTTGTGGGTCCCTTCCAGTTCTGAATATTCTGTAATTTTAGTGGTTAGGTGATTCTCTCACTTATGTTAATTATTCCACATGTTCAGTCTCCTCCTCCTCTGGAGTCAGTGGGTTTCTAGACTTCGTGGCCTGTGAGTCAGTGTTTTCACTCACCCCCCGCCAAAATCACTTTTCACCCAGTTGGCACTTTAGACTGATGAGTTGCCCCTGTTTATTCCTCCTTTTGGCCCTACCTTGGGCGTTCTGCCAAGCACCCTTGTGGTCTGTTACTTCAGTATTCCGTTGTGACTGATTTCAATACATATATAATCCTAAATTCCTTTTTCCCCATTTTCTCAATGGCTGCAGCTACTGAGGCATATTAAGTGTACAAACAGGGTTTATTGATATGTAGTTTATCAGTATGGAAACCAAACATCACAGGGACCGCTGCGCTTAACGGGGGGCTTTTGCCCAGCTCCCCATGGAGGTACTGGCCCCTTGCTAGCCCCGTGCAGCTTTCTGGGTGTTTCCTGAGAGGAAGCTCCCAGCCTGAGCGCCTGCCCCAGCTGCCTCTGGCTTCAGCCCGCCCCTGCAATCCCTATTGGATTCCCGGCCGAGGGGGTGTTGCCGCCGCGGCAGGGACGGGCGTGCGGGCGCTGATATGCCGCGGCTGCGGAGTGTTGTATAAGAAGGAGCTGCAGGGAGCGGAAGAGAATTAGACGGGACCACGTTTCTCCTCTGTGAGCTGGAGAGGTTAGTGGCTATTTCTTAATCCCTGCTAGCTGTAGTTAGGATTTGGAAGCAGGCCTTTCGATTTCTGTTCCTCGCCTCCCCGGGATTGCTCGTCAGCGGTGTTTCCCCCTCGATTGTGGAGGATTGGGGGAGTCCTGCGAGTCACGTTGTCCTGGCTGCTCCAAAGACACCCTCCGCACCAAAGGGGACGGGCCGCCACCTGGGGAGGGGGAAGCAGCCAGAAAGGGAAAAAGGGAAAAGCCCTTGGTTTGGAATAATGTCCAGGTGGCAATGAAGCCTGTAAATGTTGTGGAAGTAGTCAAGTAGCATCTTCGAGTGTCCAGGGCACTGCATGGTGAGAGTGTGAGAGGTCGTGAAAGGTCGATATACCTTTCCTATAAATTGGACTTCTTTTTAGAAGTGCTGAGCTTCCTTCCAATCCTGTGAAAGTCCACGTTTACTGTAGCTATTTGATGCTCCCTTCTGAAACACCGGACCATCAAGCAGGCTGTACCTCAGTATACCCATGTGTAAAGTGAGAATGAGAATATTTTCCTTTCGTAAAGGGGCGTGGTGGGGCCATATTTCAGACAGCTTTTGGTAGGAGAAAGGTGATTCTTATGTTCTCAGATATGGTGCAGAATCCATGCATAAAACACATTGACACTTAATTACTTTATGTTCTCTATGTCACAGCTATCACTTATTTCTAGGCAAAGAAAAAAGGTACATCAAGGGCTCAATCTATGCACAGTGAAAAGACAAGTTCAGCCTTTATATAACTCCTGTCATCCTGCTGAACTTTTGTGTTGGATCTTGTTAAAAAACCCCAAACAACTAATGCTAATTAGGGCAAAAGTTTAATGAACTGATTTTGTGTGAAACCATTTTTTTCCAATTCGTTGCATTGATTTGCCAAATTAATTTTTGTGGAATAAAGATAGTCTTTCAGCTGTTGGATCTATGGTTACAGATATGAACACAGAATGACATTGTGTCAAAAATCAATAGCATAGTGTTTGAACATCTTTCTGACATTTGTGTTGATAAATGAGAAAATGGAGACAAATATGTTTAAATAATGTAAATCCAACTTGAAGTTTAATCTTTATATTATAAAAACCAATGGGTTAATATTTTAAATTATTTTCAGAATATATAAGAAAGCCTTAGTTAGTCTTACTAAAAACTGTCACAAGCAGTGCATACCACTTAGAGAGTAACTATTATTAATTAAATTATAATTAAATATTATTAATATTATAATAATTGATAGCAAAATACTTTACAATTTCTTACTGTTGGATCAGGAAACTTCCCTTATTTGGGAATGCTGATTTTTTTGGGAGTCTTCTTCCTGGTCAAGAAACTTTTTTATTGATAGAAATCTCTCAGTTTCTTCAAAGAGTGAACTGAGCTACTGTTTGTGAGGAGCAGGAGTTTAATTCAATGAAGTATGGTTTGTGTTATTCTTAAAGGACTTGCAGTGCTTATTCTGTAGAGCTAAAAAGGAGACTTTTGTCATTTTCAACTTTGACTTTGTCATTTTCAACTTCTTAGTGCCCTCATTATTTTCCCAGTTGTGCTGACTGGGTGTTTGAACACCCACTCCTTACTCCCCAAACCCAATGACCCAAAAAGACAACTGCATTAAGGTCTAAGCAATGTAATTTTAAGTGTCAAAGGGCAGACTTGTTTTCTTCGTTTTTTTCTTTTGTCATGAAGAATGTCTGCTGTATCCACAGACTCTGAAAATCAAGCTCAGCAGAAGAACAGGACCGCTTTGCTGTCTGGACTAAAACTTAACTGGCATTGTCAAAACAAGTGAAGATAAATGGATAAATTAATGGCCCAGTTTTCAAATTAAAATGGGAATAATTTTCCATCTTACACCATGGTGGCAGGACTTCAGCAAGATGCAGGACTAGAACGCACATTGGCCTTTTTGCTTTTCAGCGATGACTCTGAGTCACCTGAGTTTGATCCATCTTGTAGAGGGAATATTGTATTCTGTGTTGTGCAGATTACTTGTAGGAAGCTTCAGAGGGTGTTTGCCATTACCACTACTGTGGTCCACTGAAGCTGTCTCTGCACTGCCATCCTTGGCTAGGCAAGCAGAGTCAGGCAACAGGAGATAAAACTAGATAAAGTTGGGAGGAAGTGGAGAAACTAACAGAGTTTGGATGGATGTGGTAGTGGGACAATAATGCCCTGAGGAAGGAGTTCCTGTGTTTTACACAGCAGTACAGCAACATCAATGTATGCAGGATTATGGGTAACTTTCACCTCGAATTTTCAGGCAACCATAGATTTTTCTGAGACTTGCAGGTAGAGCTCAGCGTGTTAAGATAACATACATTGTGCTCATAGTGCACCTTATTAAGTGAGACATTAAAAAGGTTTCTTCACTGAGTAGAGACGCAGTGGGGCTTAGGAAAGAAAAACAGTCTGAAGGCCAAGACGCTCTTGCAGTTTAATCCTGTAGTAAAAAAAAAAAACAAACCAAACCCACCCAAAATCAACAAAACCCCACTCTGGATAATCCGTGCCCTGTTGTAACTTAGCAGAACAAAGGTTGCTGAGGAGCTGTCTCATGACTCTGGAGCTGGCCTTGAACCTTGGCAAATGTTCTCATGCCTGTAAAGCCAAAGTGTGGGACTTAGATCTTAAAACCTTATAAAATAAGTGCAACTATAATAAAAAGATAAATTTACATTTGACTTGTTTCCTCTCTACTGTCTAAGCAAAAAGAGCTTTGGCTTCTTGTCTAACTCAACTTAAGTGTTCCTTAGACATATGTTTGCAACTCAGACAGAGATCTATTGTGCTAATCAGAAAACATTGCAGAAAACCCACCTGACTAGGAAAGATAATGAAATGCATTTGCTAATCCTGTTCCTCCAGATGAGTACAACCCACCACTTTAACAACATGAGTTGAACAATTAGCATAAAATAGATTTCTACTTTTTAAATTTTTTTTCCTTATCATGGCTTTATTAACCAGTTAAAAGGAGCCTGTTTGTGGCAGCTAATGCTCCTGTTGTAGTAACTATCCTAAATACTAAATTAAAGGCTGCACAACACTGGCTAATAAAATGAGAGGTTCTCATGGCTCAAGTAATGTTACTGTGTTTATTAACTTTCTCTCTCAGTGAAATGTGTATGTACAAAGTCATCTTTGTCATCTAGTCATTACCTCTGTTCTGTGAATGAGAAGAGAGAAAAGCCATCAGAAAGAGCATGGATTATTGAATAATCCCCAAATAACAGAAAGGAAGTAGTAGTACAGGATGTGAGGGGTAAGCTGAGACCACAGTCATTCTAGTGAAAACGTCATGGGTGATTCTTTGCTGTGCTGGCAGCGATGCAGCTTTGTGACCCTTTCTGTTGCTAGGGAAAGCAGCCCTCAGTCGGTATTTACTGTCTTTTGCAGGCTCTGACACAGATTAGCAGCAAACTGGTTAGTCTGTTATTTGGTGATGAACACAGAGTAGCTTGCTCGTACTTGTCTTTGGAGTAATTAGCTGGTTTTTCTCAGACAGCACAATTGTGTGCAGCTGGAGGTGGGATCAGCATGTTGGTAGAGATCTATCTGTGCTTAGTGTTTGGTCTTGATGACAGAAGATACAAATGTATGAAGGGTTGAGGTGGGGGAGTTGTAGTTTGTTTATTTGTTTTGGTTTTGTTTTTGCCGGTAAATCAGATTCATAACATTTGAATGGAGTTGGCGGATTAGTTCCTGTTTTTTGTCTTCCTCCAAAGCTTTGATTCTTTAGTGGCAAAAATCTGTGAAGAACTCAGATACTCAGATTTGAACATGGATAAGGAGGAATTCTCTACTGTTGATAATTCACTGTTAAGTGATGAGGCATGGTACACTTCTGGCATTGGAGGGCATCATGGGCTTACTCTCCTTTCATTCTTGTTCAATAAGACAGAGGAAGGCTTGGTTTTTGGTAAGTATAGAATACTTGGATTTGAAGTCCTGGAGTGCAGTATCTGTTAAAAACAGTCCCGAGGCATCTGAGATGTCTCAGGTTTGTCATTCAGAAGTCAGGATAACCAATCCCAGCAGTCATTCTTGCCCTAGGAAATGTGTTTTTTGTTTGGATTTTTTAAAGTCTATTTTACATTTACTTACTTGCTTAGAGAAGTGAAATAGCTGTCCATACATTTAGCCCAATATTTGCAAATTAAGATGTACTGCCTATTCTTGTATGCCTGGCATCTGAAATGAGACCTTAAGGCTGAGGACTTTTGAATAAATATTTTCAAAATAAATAGGTCATTTGCCTGACTCTACATACTGTTCAAAAATAATAGTCTTCTGTGATGTGTTTCCAATCCAGTCCTTCTTGAATAGATCCTGGTGACAGCCTGACCTAGTAACATTCACAATAGAGATATAATGAAGATATAGCAAAAGAACCATAAAAATACCTGTATTATATGATAAAATAAAGGGGGCTTAAAGTGTCTGGTCCTTTGTTTTAGTGTAGATAAGAGCTTCCTTCCTCCTCTTGCCCTGCAAGCAGGGGATGTGGTCATGTAATTCTCTAGCTGCTCTGAGCCCACTTTTTCTGATAAGGTTTCCTCAGAAAGGATACTGCTTTCAAGGACACAACCTTAATTCCCTGGTATCTTTTGAAGAGGGCTGAATTTTGCACCAGGGAGATGTATGAGGCACCTTTTTTCTTTTTTTTTTTTTTTTTTTTTTTGTGTTCATGTATTCAGGCAGAGAGAGCACCTTTCAGAAACAACTGCTGGTCTGCTGCATGTTACCCATCCCTGTTGCTTGGGATAGCCAGACCTTCCCACCATCAGATGGCCTGTAATATCAGGAACAAAATTTTCCTCTCTTTAAACACAGGAGGGAAACTCCTCCTATCCTAGGTGCTCTGAAGTTACCAACTCCTAAGGAAGCGTGAAGGTGTGGATGACTCCAGGGTTCAAGTTTCTTTTGGCTAAATGACTACTAAATGAGATGCCAACTCTTCATCTTTTGCCCATGAGATCTCA